TATAGGAAAATAAGGAGTATAATGCCACATTGGGTAACTAGTAATAGTAGCACAAATGTAATTAGAAACTGTATATACATTAAAGAAAAGCCTTTAAATAAAAATAAAAGTTTCTATGTTTGGCAATATATAAAAAAAAAAAAAAAAAAAAAATTACTTTATTTTTGTACAAATTTTAGTTTATATTAGATTTAAAAAGATTTTTTTTAATGAGTTTATTATAAAATTTACACGTCTAAAATAAATTGCATAGAATCTATATATTTTGCCCACAAGCTTTGTTTTTAACAGCAATGCAATTTAAAACTTTTTGATGTTAAAGCAAAAGTTAATTCTTACGTGTTCAACCCACTGATAAGTATACTTGTTGACAAAAATATTGGCAATTTTATTATGTTTGGGATAAGGCGTTGACAAATTTGAAACATGACAAATCATGAGTTAGACATTTTGTAAACAACCTAAAATGTAAAAAAAAAATTTTATTAGCCAATCAAATTTATTACACTTATAAAAATTTTTTATAATAAAAAATTTATTTACAATATAGCAAAAGATAAAAAAAGGAAAAAAAAACTAACAAACACGACCTAATTCTCAATTTACTATAATAAATTTAATGTCAAAACTAATTAGTAATTAAAAAACTATTAAACTCTCAAGAGAATGCGTACTTCTAGAATTAACAAATGTATAAGTATTTGTTAAAATAAAATATTTAATATGTGTTGCAGATTCACGATAAAAACTCTTTCAATGTAATCCCAATAAAAATATCCATCTAGATAATACATTATATATTCTATTTTATTGGCTTCAATAATTTTCTCATAACGGTCGAAAAAAGTAATATTTTGAAACTTCACAAATCTATTTTTCGAATAACTAATAATCTTTGCATACTCCGCTTTGATAGAAAATTTGCTATCGTACAAATATAAGTAAAATTCGACAGGAGTATCATCGATAAGTTGAAAATATACATTTAAATTTTTTTCATTAGGAAATTGTTAAATAAAAGGGTGCAATTATTTCATAATTTTGAATGATTGAAGTCTCTTGAATTTTAAAATTTTCGTAATATTCTGAAATCATTTTTTTTAAAAACTTTCTTTATGAATCAAATGCTTTTTATTACGCATAACTTAATCACGTGCAAAATTAAAATTTCCAATTTTCTGTATAAATCTTAAATTATATTCTTTTCTCGTATTTTTAATTAAGCCACAGCATACTATAATAATAATTCAAAATCACTTTCATTTTAAAATAGAGATGAATGTAGTCTGACCACTTTGAATTTAACAATACAATTTATATGTGACTAGCTGGTTTAACTAGTTAGTTCGTATAATAAATTTAACCAGTTTAACTAAAACTCAGATTTATAAAGTAAATATATGAAATTATCAAGTATAAATTTATATTAAGTGGTAACAGAACAACTCGGAATATTCAAGGGTTAAAAATAAAACAGAAAAAAGAAGAATTTTGGCAGATTCTAAAATAAAAAGACTCTTAAATTAAATTCAATTGATTCATTATTAGCCAACATATGGTACCAATTCTTTAAAGATAATAGTAATATTGAAATTATTGAATCAAAATTAAGCATCTCGATAACTTTATACACGGTTAATTACAGAATTTAAAATTTGATATTTTAACTCTTATCGAATTAAATATAGAATGTGGCACTTCTGGCAAAGTTTCCAGGGACGAAGAATTAACCATGTCACAATCGCGAAATGTAACTTCTTGTAACCAATTAGAATTGCACAATACTAACTATCTTAAATCGCATAAAATTTTATTTTGCGTGATGCTCTTAAAATAGATCAAAAATTAGAACAAAGAGATTATCTCCGTTATTATTGTAATTTGATAGATAAAAAATTACAAACTCTATTGCTATATATTTAAACCAAATTTGGCATCAATTCAACATTAAATATAAAAAATACTCTAATTTTAAGTTCAATTCTGGTTTTATGTATACATAGTAGTAGAAATTACATAATCGTAATTACTTATCGGTACATAAGTTATATTATGATTTTGAGTTAACTTATTATTTAACAATATAAACATATAATTATACGTGTGTAAAAATAAACAGAAGGAAACATACCTGATCCAAAGTGAATTCCACACACGGAGTGATCAATTAAAACCAAAATTATTTATTTTAGTTTTAATTGATCACGCCATGTGTGGGATTCACTTTGGATCGAAAATAATTGAACATTATTTTAAAATATTTGAGTTACTTTAGTAAAAATGTGTTATCAAGCAAGAGAGTATATATATTGCTTGTTTTCTTTTGTTTGAATAAAAATAATTTTTTTCTTTACTCGAACAAAAATACCTGTAAAAATTAAATATTTGACATGTTTTACGTTCAAAGAATAGCTGGAAGTGGAAATAGATATTATGTGTGTAAAATATGTGGTTCCTACCAAAGAAATCCATCGAATGAACATATCAACCATCACACTCTGCAACAAAGAGAATATTATTGTAATCTCTTTTATCGCAATCAATATCCACCAAGACGAATAACAGCTGGCTCAACTAGGCAAATGACAACTACCTCATCTTCGCCTGCATTGAGAGCTGCATCTTTTACTTCTTCAGTTTTGGCTGTGACCTCTGTTGCTGCTTCTTCTGCCGCGATTGTGAGCTCTGTTGCTGCTTCTTCCGGTATTCCTGGTTCTGCGTCACAACTACCAAGACGAATAACGGCTGACTCAACAAGTAACCTACTAGAACAAATAACTGAAACAACAACAGGTGCCTCAAGTAGCTAGCTATTACCAGTTGTTGATGTAATGTCAGAGAGTCGAGAAGCAAGTGATGAGGAGGAATAAAGTGATTCAACATGGTTGCCAGTTGAATTCTCAGAACAAAGCACTGAAAAAAGCACCGATGAAAGTTATGAAGAAAGTTCAGACAATAGCTACCATGAAGAAGAAGAAAACAATAGTCATAGAAAAAGAAAAAGGTGAATAATATTTAAAAACTGTACAGTAACTTTCAATTTTAAAAATTAAGAATAAAATTTTGAACTAAGATTTATTTGTACTAGTTTCATTTTCTGACGGCCTCTAGTTGCCGTCGGAGAACGTAATATAAAAGGTAGTTTCATATTATGAATTTGGGCAAAATTAATAATTTGGGTCCGTTGACTATAAATAAATATTAAATTTCTTGCAATTATATTTTCTTTATTTAATAATTGAGATAATTTGAATCGAAAAAAAAATAAATCAACTAAATAATAGTTTATACTATCTCAATAATAAAAAGCTCAAAAGAGAATTGCTTTTGAAAATTCTCACTAATCTAGGTTCAGAGCATATTCACGTCAAATATTAGTTTACATAAATAATAAATAATGCATGCTTCTGGTAAGGTTTATTAAGTGTTAATTTTCTTGAAAATATATTAAGAAAGAAAGAATCTAGTCTAGCGTCTTAAATTGTGTATTTTAATAAAAATACGAAAAAGTAATTTAAAAAAAACTCTGTGTTGTACATATAATGCTAGAATAGTGCATTGTCACATGATAATTTTACTGACATTATAAAAGTTGCACTTTCATAATTATGTTCGGAATTGTAATTTTTATTTCACAAGATAATACGTATTAGAGTGAATTTGAGTCAAAACTAATTGATTATCGACAAAATTAAGAACCTGAATTCTTGTCAATCTAAGAATGCTACGTGAATTGTTGTCATTTACATTTGATTGAATTATTTGGTTTATTATTACTGTAGCTATTATTATAATTATCACGTGTACGTGGAAGAACCAATTAATGATGGTCAGACTCAACATACAGAGCAGACTCTGGTTTCTTGCACAGCTGTGAAAGCCGGGCATACGGTGAGCGACTCTATAGAAGGCACTCAAAAAGTCTTAGCTCCCAACCCATCAAATCCTGC